ATTCGCGAACAGCAAATGTACTTAGGAAGGTAGAACTGAAAGTACGTACGGCCGATTGTATACAGTGCTAAACATGCTGTATAAAATGTTCTCCTCGTCATATAAAAACTGCAATTTTGTGCCTGCCAACTGTCAACAGTTGCCTACAGCTACCCGCATTATAGTTACACAAAAAGGAAGGGACAAACAAGTGAATGAGAGTGAATAAGAGCAAGCGCTGCTTAATATGCCTAGTGCGTAAAATGTCCTGCAGAAGACGTATGCCGATGTACGGCCGAATTGTTAGTACACGGAGTTCTTCACGGCATACTTCGAATTGGAAAAATTCACTGTCGAAAACATCCACAAGTTGGAATAGAATAGGCCATAGTTCTGTCTTGGACTTATGATAAGGCGAAGGGCGCTCCGCTGTAGCGTGGCCTTTCCTCCATATCAGTCTCTAAAATAGTGTGACTAGAAGGTAATCCCACGGTCAGACTTGCATATTATTATTCCTCCTCCACCCGCCCCAGAAAAACCACAGCGCATTGTATCCCGTGAACTGGGAAACCTCCAACAAAATTCCAGCTACGTTGTTGAATGCTGTTTGTAATATCTGCGAAAACCTCGCCACCAGAACCAACCCCGCAAAAATGACGTCAAATACTAGCACCGCCACCGTTGGCAGCACGGCAATATTTCGTGCGCTAACGTGCAAATAACAGTGGTGCGGTAAAAGCGCTACACACCAGGCACGGTGCTGCATGAGGCCGTACTGCAACCATTAATGAAACAATGTGAGAGGGAGAGAGAGAACGACTGCGGTGCCAGGTGGCAGACCAGCTTCAAGCACCCGAAGGAGAACTGCACAACCGAGTATAACGTGCCATATTCTCTTCCCGGACGATAACTCCGACAGTTAAGCAAGTGAAAGTATGCATATGGCCCACTGAAATGGCTCGATCCCACGAGTGTCGCTGCGAGAGCGGTAAAGGTAGGTGATTTTAATCAGAGGCGGTTGGATGGGAAGGCATACATTTTCTCATCAGAGCTATAAATATGTCATGGGGGCAATATGAACACACTCAATCAATTTGTGTCGGTTTAATGAGGGCAGCACCACGCAACGCGCTCAGATCAGTGTGCGTATTTGTGTGCAGTAGCCGGCTGGTGGTATAAGAGGTGGGCTGCAATGGCTCCAGCTTAGTGTGGCCTTTATGGCACTCAAACGTAGTGGGATCCGAATCGCGTGTGGCGGCACGCCTAGGAGCGGCTCCCGCCGCGCCAGCCGTCTGCGCCCTCTCCCACCTCCGGTCTACTGGACAATGTCTTGACACCGAGCCCGGGTGAGGAAGGAGGAAAGAGTGCGGTAGATGTTATGGCAGTATAGTGTCACTTTAAACTAATTCACACTGCTGAGGAGTACGCAGTGGACATCGTCGGTCACGACGGTCAAGCTGTCATTGTCCTCACTCGCAGTGGAAAATGATTTTTTTTACTAGTCTGGCGACTGTTCTGGTTAAGGTTACAATGTCAACCCTCGTGTATGCAGGAAACAAACTGTTGCATTCGAGTGCGAGTCAAACAATGCAGGTAGTCTGAAATGCCTAGTGATTAGAACCCACATTATTACTGTAGTCTAGGGTTACGCTTAAGGTTTGAGTTATGATTTGGACAGGCAAATGAGCGACCAGTCTGGAATTTAACGCAAGGCCACTTGTATGACAGGGAGGCGTTCCTAATCCCACGTCTTGCTGGGAGGGCCAATTTTTCACTGTAGGCTAAAGCAACCAAAACAAACTGCGTCGTGTGTCTTTCCTTCTATGCTGCCAAGCCGACGTCCTTTATGGACTCGTGAGGCGAGTTCCCTTTTCAGTTCGACGACAAGCCACCTTCGGAGGTTCGGTTGTTCACTCTTATCCCAAAGCACAAGATATGTGTCTGGATGTGATTCATATTTCTACAGTCCGTACCCGTCTTAGACTTGTAACCTTTGAAACATATAAGCTCAATATTTTTTCTCGTATGCGACCTAGCGTGCATTCCTATGGCATCACAGAAATTATTATTATAGTAGCCTTATGAAACACAAAAGTCTCCCCGTTGTTTTTCGAATGGCGATCTTATTTGGATAAACACGCGATTAGAGGACCTCTTAAAGGGAAGTATTTTGAATTTTCATGTACTGATTTCGGACGAAATATACTACGGGGATTACTTCTTGTTAATCCACCGTACGAGAATCGGAAAGCCTAGATACTGGCTCTCTGGCGCGCCCGCAAGTGCTGGGTGGTGGGCGAGCGAAAGTCAGAGATAGGGTCAGCTACCAGTCACAGGCCAGCAGTGACAGACCAGTGAACGAGGTGCGGAGAGATGAGGTCTGCCCCAAGGCCCGACGGTAACGCGGTGGCATGGCCACCATGAACCGCCAGTACATAAACTTGTTTTCCACCGCTGTCCTGTGGTTAGATTCTTTAACCAATTGGCAACGGGAGACAACCTCGAAGAAATAACTGTCTGTACTCAGAACTCCCGAGGATTTTTAAGAAAGAGACCGGACTGATTAGGCATAAGCAGGCAGAAGAAGACAATCCGAAGTCAGTGGAACAGGTCTGTAGTATTTAAGCGCTAGTTTTCCATATCGAATCGCCCTAGGTGGATGACAGGATTGTCAGTGGAAATGCAGCATTCCGGCGTGTATCAAGTATTTTGTTAATATACTTCATAACTGTTAGTATTTCAGCATAGTCTACGAAGGCTTTTGTTGAATACTTTGCGAATTTCAGGGCCTAATGTACACAACACAGAGAAGGATAACACTTCCATGGGTCGAACTTGATTGAAATTAACCGCAAGCATAAGTGCATAGATCCGACAGCATGGTTTGGGTGCATTACCGACCGGGGTACGCTTTCTGATGCTGATGCACTAGACCAGATCAAATGTTCCACGGACATTGCCACTGCCAAATATCAGATCACGCTTCATCCAACGGCGTCGTATCACGCATTCAGGCGCAATGAGGTCGAAATTCTTACGGTGAGTGAGACGCAAGCTGCTTGGCTTGTGCTTTTTCGGTCCGCAGTCGATGACCGGCGTCCTGCATGTTCCATGCCTGAGCAAAATAATTAGCCCCACGGGTGGAGGACGCGGGCGAACACCACTCCCAGTGAAGCATCAGTGAGCCAAATGGGCGGGTAATTACTGCGCCAATAATAGACAACGATGATGAAATTGCGGCGGCGTACGACTAATATGCGGGCAAGTAGGCAATCATCGCGCTAAGTACGGCTATTTGCGATGAATGACGCATGTGGCACTTATGACGATTATGCGGTAGCATGGCAATTGCTGCCTCTGTGCTTCCATCATCCCTGTCTGTGACTGTCTTTGACTGTGAGTTTGAGTGAGTATCCTGAACTTCGGGCGGAGGAGAAAATTCTTTCTCTGACAGTCGCCTCTTCCTCCTCTACTTCTTCTTTGTAGGCAAACTTCTGATTTTGGTCGTTCAACTTCCCACATGCACTCTGACCGAAATTACTGAAACAATTTCCGCGGTATTTCTACATGTTCGGATGTGTTAAATATTAGTATGTGATTTAGCAGACACTAGTATTCCTATCTCAATTGACAGGTATTAAAGAAGCTTGGGGTGAAGCTGCAAAACTGGCCAGTGGGAAACGGAAATAATTAAAATTCTCTATCTGTTACCGCCCTCAACATCTGGCGATCTATGAGATGCGGACGAAATGTATGCGATTATTATATTCATAAGTGAAACCATGACCATCGCAAGCACCGAGAGTCCATTTTCACTGTGTGCTGCGGGGTTCTGTCCCGTCAAACCGGCACAAATGGGTTGAGAGTGTTCATACTGCCCACACAACATATAACAACATATTTAGGAAGATGGAATTATTTGGAAAACAGTAAACTTTATTGTGTAAATTTTTGAGACTGGTTCCACAGCTCGTCTTCGGGCAACGGGCGTGCGAAAACAATTGACTTCTAGACCGAGTCTGACAAATGATGCCAAGATTGGTTAAAGTCATCTTCTCGGGATTGGTTGAGTCAGTTTGGATCAGTCCTTAAAGATTTTGTATGTGGCATCTAGCTCGATAGGCCGGTTGATGCATGTCTCATCTGAGTGCATTGCCTCAAGGGAATTCGCGGCTCTTCCTTATTGGGCAGGTGCCAACAATGCGAGTGATGTCCCATGCAAATTTGTACCCAGTGTCCAATGTGTGCATGGCCACCTGGGATAGATGGTCGCGTCTCTTCACCGTTAATTGATGTTCATGTATGCGGCCTAAGACAGATTTCTCAGCTTGGACACAATAGACGGCATCGCAAAGAGAACATGGGATTTTTTAGACAACACCTTTATTTCGAGGTAGCCAAATCAGGCCTTAGGGTGTACAAGTTGTGTTCGTAAGAACAAACTGCGATAATGTAAGATAATGTGATATTTGAGTAGTAAATATAGAGTTGCTGGGCAAATTAACATTCTGAACCGTGCGCAATCCAGTCAGTGTTGACTATACTCAAGGGTTGTACATCCCGTCGTGTTTTGGAGCCCTAAAATCCCACCTTAAAAATATCAGCGACCAGCTTAGCCTACGCTGTTAGCTATACATGAGCATGCCAGAGATGGGATATTGGGTGTAAATATGGCTTCTCGCTGTACGAGAAAACGGCTTCGTAACTCTGAAGGAGACGTTCACGATTAAGTCAATATTGTCAGTAAGGTGGCTTTATACAGACGGACGTCCAAAACTATGAGAAATGCTACACATCAGGAACACTGTTGAAACATTGAGGAGTCTCCGCAACTTAGACCAAGAAGATAAGGCAGCAACAACTATTCATTCATTTATATTGCAATCTTATGGGGAAGAAGCCCATAAACAAGCGGTTTCCATACTTGTGTGGAAGGAGGAGAGAGTGTGGTAGATGCGGCGCATAAATCACTGTCCCTGTGTCCACGAAGTTGTTGGCTACACGCTTCCAACGTGTCCTCGATGTCAACGGACATTCCGGGCTCGAATCGGACTTGTTGGACATCTTCGGATCAACTGCGCCTCTCGAACGTCACCAACCATCGTCCCCCGCCTACCTCTTCCTCCTCCTCTCCCCCGCCAACTAACCCCGACAATTCTTCTGACCCACCACCTCCATCATCCTTTTCCTCCTACTTCTCCTCCTCCTGCTCCTCCTCCTCCTCCTCCTCCTCCTCCTCGCCCACTGCTCCAACGGCGGCCGCTCAGGCGACTGTCCCGCCCACAACAACCGCACTACCACCACCTCCCCTGACTCCAGGGATGAGGATCAGGACTACACCTGCCCTCACTGCGACCGTACCTTCACCTCACAAATCGGCCTGGTCGGTCACTTGCGAATCCATCGCACAGAGACTGGTGAACCAGTGCCTGGAGCACCAACCTACACCCACCGCACTCGCCTCCACTGCCCACACTGCCCCCGCACCTTCACGCGTCGCGTGGGTCTATTCGGCCACATGCGCATCCACGATAGCGGCCTTGATCGCACTGCCGACACACCCACCACATCCAACACATCCACTGTGCACACCCCCACCCTCGTCCCATCCGTCCGCGCCACCACCGCCTCCTCTGTAGCTAACACTGACACCGCCGACTTCTCATGTCCACACTGACAACGCACATTCACCTCACGCATCGGCCTTGTCGGTCACTTGCGAATCCATCGCGCAGAGACTGGCGAACCAGTGCCTGGAGCACCCACCTATACCCACCAAGCTTGTCTCAACTGCCCACACTGCCCTCGCACTGTCAGGCATCGCATGGGCCTATTCGGTCACATGCGCATCCACGACGACCTGCGGTAGACAACAGCCGGTCTCACAACACTTTCCCTCACTCCCTACCTCCTAACACCATCACCCCACCAGACATCAACACTCACACACCTCATGCACCCAACTGCCACCTCCCACGCAAGTGGGAAGTCCGCATCTCGACTCGGTCCCCATGCGGCTTCGGCTGCACGGGTGACTTGTGTCCGAGACTATCCCGACACGTCAAGCGTCGTGGATAGGATGGTTGCTGATTGACGCCCGCTCTCGGTTCACGCAGTTCGTCACGTTGTGTGTGTGTGTGTGTGTGTGTGTGTGTGTTGTGTGTAGTGGCGGACTGGTGGGCTGGGGACGGGCTGAAACAGCACCTTCCACGGCCCTCTCACGCAAGTGGGAGACACGCCGTTCTACCCCCGTTGTGTGAAATCCTGGTGTTTGTGTGTGTATGGGGGACCAGGTCGTGCTGTGGCGCGCGCAGTCATGGTCCGTCGACCATGACAGCCACCGCGCCCACTCCCCACTCCAGTCTGCTGACCGGCTCGGACAGCGGCTGGGGTGTGGGTGTGGGAAGGGAGAGTGAGGTCGACGACTCAGCGCACTTTCTCCTCACTATAAACAATCTGACGCGCTTGAAGCTATCATGGTGCGCTAAAAGCCGTGGCTTGGAAGGCTGCCAACTGACGGGATGACTTGTACCTCCTCCTCGATTGGTGATCTGAGAGTTAGGCTGCAATGCCTCCTTTTTAATGTGGCCTTTATGGCACTCCCATCACAGTGTGGGATCCGAGCCAGGCGTTCGCGGCACGCCCAGGTGCGGCTTCGGCCGCGCTAGCCTCCAAATCTCTGTTGTGTTGGTTGAAATCCTGGTTATTGTTGTGTGGACCAGGGGGTGTGGTGGAACGCCAAGGTGAGGATCCGTCCGAGCCATCCACCTGCGGCCTCCCCCGTCTCCGGTCTTCTTGACTCTGTCTTGACACGGGGTCCAGGCGGGGGAGGAGGAAAGATTGTAGGTAGATGCAGCGCAAGTCTACCGGCACTATAAACCCTTGCGCAAGTCACCGTCCCTGCTCCCACCGCTGCTGCAGCTGTGGGGCACACGGTGGACATCATCGAAAACGATGGTCGAACTGTGTGTTTCTGTGTGTTATCCATGGATATTGCCTCTCAATCGACAACTACGTAGAAGGAGATTTGACAAGTTTCCCATGCTCCAGTCTTAAAATATTCATGTTGATATGGACTTAGTGGGTTTCAATCAACCGAATGGTGTGGAATCTGTAGCGGCACAGCAGAGAGAATAAGTGCTCTGTGCGCTACAATTATCAAGTCAAATCCCAGATTGTGCGGAGAAGACAGAAGGAACCAGTATGAGGGATTTATTGTGCACAGAACCCGGAGTTGTCCTCTCAGGCGACAGTGGCTACTGGCGAAGCCAGGGCTGATGTTGACTGCGTACAGTCAGGCCTCAGAGTCCCTGGGATAATGGTGGCAGCCGATTTTGTAGGCTCGTGGGCCAAGCTCAAGTGGCGCCAGTCAGCGTGCGTGTTGCATTTGCCGAGGGGTGAAGTGCCAGTGGCTTGTTCCGCTGGTTGCAGGGGGTGGCGCGTTCAAGTGGCCGCATGGGCAGCTGCGACTGCGCGGACGCAGGTATGCCCGAGCTGTTGGTTGTGTGACTTCAGGTCACCTAGTCTGGGACGGCTCGCTGCAAGGGATGAATGACCTTGAGGCAGCGAGGTCTGGAACAATGACGCCAGACCGGTCATGATGTATGGCTGTTACAAATCTTATCCTTTATCCCAGTCTCCGAAATCTCGGGAGTTGGCAGCGGAGTGGTCATTGGCCAATAACCGTCAAATGACCGTGCTTGAAGAGAGGTAGGGTGTCATAGCCGCCAGCAGTTTGGGAATGATTTCAACCGAAGAAACGAGGTTAAGACCACTTTGCACTGGAGGGCTAGAACTACATCCTTGCAACTAGACGCTAAAACACCGACTGGAATACCATCTGATCCTAAGGTGTATGATCGTTGACAACACTGGATGGATAAAATTTCTTACTGGAAGCTGAAATACCAAACTTCCGGCTGGGCAGTGAGACAGCCGAGGTTTCAATAATGAATTTAGACAAGGCCACCTTATAATTATCAGCGATCAGCATACACTTCGCTCTTAGCTATACATGAGCCTCCCAGCAGAGGGGATATTGGGTGTTCCTATGGTTTCACTTTGTACGAGAAAAGGGCTTAGTAACGCTGAAGGAGACATCCCCAATTAAATGAATTTTTTCAGCAAGGTGTCTTCATGCAGACGGAAGTCCAATACTCTGAGAAATGCGGCACATCAGGAACAATGTTGAAACATTGAGGAGTCTCCGCAGCTTGCAACATAAAGATAAAGGAAGCAACAACTCGTCATTCCTTCCTACTATTATCTTATGGGGAAGAAGCCCACAAACAAGCAGGTTCAAGACTTTTGTGGGAGGAGGAGGGAGTGTGGTAGATGCGGCGCAAGTCTGCCATCACTATAGAGGAAATCACGCATAAATCACTGTCCCTGTGTCCACGAAGTTGTTGGCTACACGCTGTACATCGTCAGTCACCGTGGTCAATCTATTGTGAGTGTGTGTGTTTCGTTGAATATGCCCACCCACTGCCTCCATATCACTAATCAACTGGCCCAGCGACTGGAAGAACGGCAGTCTGCAGATGAAAATACCCTCCTGGAGAATCAATGACGCCAACTGCAGCACGTCGTCCATTCGACCACCCTGGATGCCCTCAGGCGCGCACGTCGTCAGCACCAGGACTGGTTCGATGACAACGACGCAGCCATCAGCAGCCTGTCCACCACAGAGAACAAGCTGCACAAGGCCAATATGAA